CCCCCAAAAAAAAATCCATTGAAATTCCTGGTGGTAAAATAAAATTGGAAAAGTGCCCAAAATACTTTTGCAAGCCACTGTACATGCATTCGTGCAGCTAATAATAATTAAATGTGTTTTTTTTTTTTTCCTAAACGCAACTAATGTTTTGACTTGAGTTCGACCTGTTGTAGTCTCCTGTTCAGTAGCACTTGGACAGGAACTGGGAGCTAGTGAGGTTAGCTGCATGCATCTGTGTTTACAGAGAACATGTTGATAGGGGGAGAGCAAGCAGAGAGGTAACGTCACAAGTCTTTCATGACTCTTCCACTGTTCAATGGATGGAAGGAGGCAGCAGGCTTTTCCTTAACCGTGACGGAGAAAGTAAAAGACAAATATAAATCCTTTGGCAGGTAAAATATCCCCCTGCTATATGTATTTCATCTGTGTATTTAGATGTTTCCTGGGGGTTCATGTAAAGTGCCTAAAGAGCTTTTTAGATGTACAAAGATGTGAAGACATGACTTTATATAAACTCTATCAGGTGGAACTGGTATATTTTGTGACATATATTGAACATCTTCAAAGATGGAGCTTCATGCGTTCTAGCCTATTGAAAAGTTCAAAGAGCAGTCCAAGAATGCATACCTCTCTGGAAGGGGGCGGGGGGTTTGGATTTTTGTTTGGGGGTATAAAGGGAAAAAGGTGGCAGAGATGGGGGTTGAGGGTAGTATTGGTTAGTGTGCTGCACGTGTGAAGAAAAAGGAGAGAGGAAGCACCACTACCATGCAAGTATGAAGTATCGGTAGGCCCTGTAGACAGGATGTAGTCGCTGATTAACGTGGTGTAGATAATGGGCCAAAAAGGGTGTAGCGCCTCCTGGCGTGCGGAGTTGGAAACCGAGGGAGGAGTGAAGAATGATGAAAGGTGAAAATTCAATAAGTTGGTCACGTGTGGTGTGTAGAAACTCACCGTTGGGTTAATGATTCTGTTTGCTGTGACGAGTAGGTGCTGGGTGACTTCCGATCAGTGGAAGTGGTGATATCCAAATAAGTGGAGGCTGTTGAGTGTCCAAGTGGCAAGATTCCGATGTGTGGTGACGTATCAAGGATAAAAGATGCTTCTTTTTTTATTGTGGGCAAGTTGCAGCGTTGCAGTGTGACAGCTGTAGGACTATGGTGGCTGAAATTCAGTAGTCCTGGGCTGGTACAGGTGAGGTCTATGGGAGCTTTAGAACAGTTGAAAGTTATCATGGCACACTCGCCAGCCAGCATGTAAAAAAAAACTTGTCTCACAACTAAGGTTAACAGAGGTTTGGATACACGTCTTATGCAGAAAATGTGAAAGCCGCACAGCTGCGCCAAGGCACCTCTTATAGTGCGGCCCTAACTCTAAACTATGAGAGTCTCCATCTTGGAGCACATGGGGCAGAAGATTTAGAATTGGGTGCAGGATTGTCGGGAGGAAGCCCGACCTCCCTTAAAGGCACAGGAACGCACAAGGGATCCCGCAAAACCTATTTGGCAGCTGAGACCTCCCATGCATCACTGCACCAAATCAGTCAAGCAAAACAAATGACAAACGCACTCATCAATTCGTCACCAGCCCTACAGCGACTATGGGAGCTTGTCCCCAGAGTCAGCATCGGGGTCAACCGCAAATGAGGGCTAACTGATAGCGTGTGGTTGGGGTGGCCTGATGCTCGTGTGCCTGCAAGATCTCGAGGTGCTGAATGCAGCGGTATTGAAAAAGTAAGAGGAGGAGAAGTTGGAAGTTAGGCCCGTCATCTACACCACGTTAACCAGCAACTACATCATATCTACAGGGACTACCGATAGACCCACCCCTTCATACTTGCACGGTAGTGGCGGTTCCTCTCTCCTTTTTCTGTTTTTTCTTCATGCGTTCTAGCCTAAACAATTGTATTTCTGAAGGCTATTTTTTTTTCCTGAATAGATTACATTCTAGATAATTTCTAAGCCCGATGTTACTTATTTGGTTGTTTTGTAATCCTACAATATGTTCTTCAAAAACCCTGCAGTTATTCAAGTGATGCTTGACTCCCTCACATTGTTTGCAAAAGATCACATACTGTATAGCTTACATTACAGAATACCATCTGGCTCTGCTGAGGCTTCCTATACTCTCCATTTGCTAATATTGTAATAATGGCTTACTGTGTTGCTGTTTGATAGCAAAAATGTTGGATAATGAAGGATATTAAAGCAAAAACTCCAACTGGTAGTTTGCTGTTGTAACAAAACATAATATTATGTTGGAGGTAACATTAAGGCCCAGTTCACACCTGGGCGTTTTGTAGCGCGTTCGAACGCTCTGCAAAACGCTCAAACACCGAAATCCCATTATTTCCTAATGGGTATGGTTCACACCTGGGCATATTACAGGCCGTATGAACGCGCTACAAAATGTCCTACGCCCAAAGAAGTACAGGAGCTTCTTTGGGCCGTTTTTGTTGCGTCACGAAACACACGACAAACGCGCATATTCGATACGCCTAGGTGTGAACCCAGCCTAAAGCTTCACTTCTGGAAGATATAAAAAGCATAATTTTAATTTAGATTTTATATTCATTACAAAATGTATTTTACATGGAATTAGCATAAGTACCTGAATATACTTAGATGACCTTCTCTGTAATTTCTACGATAAACAGTTGGCTATCAGTCTAGAAGAATACTGTTTCACAACACTGAAATTCCTCTTGTCCGTGCAATATATTTACATATTTTATTACATTTCAGGTTCAACAGGGCTACTCTGATAAATGTGGGCTTCTTAGAGAGTGGCAATGAAACGGACTACATTGCTATGCATGATGTTGACCTGCTACCTCTTAACCCGGATCTAAATTATGGGTTTCCAGAAAAGGGACCTTTCCATGTGGCTTCCCCAGAACTTCACCCTCTGTATCATTACAAGACCTATGTTGGAGGAATCCTTCTCCTCACCAAACAGCATTATGAACTGGTGAGTATGTTTTGCTTTCTTTTACTTAAGGAGCATCTATGGACAGTTACAGAATACTGAAGTACAATTATCTTCGCTTTTATAGTAGCAGATTTCCCTTTAGACAAGTGTTTTTTCAAGCAGTGGCTCTGGATCTATGTGCAGCTCCCATCTGCTTTTGAGGAAAAGCAGACTTTCCGAATGTCTTGGGTACCCACCTGATTGATTGCAGTACAATACATTCCCTTATGCTTGAAACCAGGCAAGGATTGTCAATTTTAACTATTGTTTAGAGATATTGTTTAAAGGGTTATTTAAACCCTCATGGGTTTTTGCATATATCTACGCTAGCAAGCAGTTTTTTTTTTAACCAAAAACTTTTTCAAAGTGTAAATACCACACGCTCCTGTCCGAACATCTGAAAATTTCTCGGGCGGCCACAAAGGATCTTGGGGCGGGCGCATGCGCAGTTCAGATGTTCGTCCGGGAGATGAGGAGAGACACAAGATAAGTCTATGGAGCAGACTCCGTGGGACATCAGAGGAGTCAGCGCTGGATCTGAGACCTGCACCAGCCCTGGAGGGACAGCTAAAAACCACAGGAAAGAAGATCGAATTAAGAGGCATCATTTAAGCTAAGTCCTTACTTTAGCACTGTGGGGAGGGGGGGGAAACTTTTGCCCTTGTCACTTTAAGATTATTTTCCACAAAGGATTTGGAGTGCCGTTTTTCCATATTTATGGTTTCTCTGCTCTATCTTTCAAAGTATTTTATAAATTTTCCAAGGTAGAATAAAAAAATAAAATAGCACATGATGCACAATCAGTACAGCATACAATTGCGTTTCAGATTTTTCCACTTTAGCATAGTCAAGTGGTAGGAGGGGATCCCTAGAAGCCATACACACAATATATAATAGTTCTGTAAAACAGAACATATCTATCCACCTATTCTTGCCAATTTATCCCCATCCACAAAAATCAAAACAGTCTGAGAGGAATATCTGGCGTAGGGATCCACCTATGTCTAAAGCAAACATTTGTTATGATCTCCTCCATATCTATATAAATAGAAGACTTTCTGTCCAACATCAATGTACTAAACAGCTCACGTGTGCGAGCATGAAGAAAAGAAAAACAGACAAAAAGAGGAAAAGGAAATGGATACTAAAGGAAGCAGAACAGCTTAAGAGTCCGAAAAGAGTAGCTCCACCCCCGACCAAAGAGCCCAACATCTACTTAAACATTAAGCATAGTCCCCAGAGAAAAATTCCAGAAAAATTGTACAATGGAAATTACCCGGTTTCCAGCACCCCTGTGTATAACAACCAGGGGGTCCAGGTCAATTCAAAGCATTTTTTAGTATCTTGGAGGATGCTGTGAAGTTTCTCATGGACCATAATCCACGACATTTTTTGTTTGACCAAGCGGAATGGAATTGTTGGTGTTTTCCAAGCCCTAGCTATGGTTATTTTGGTTGCCAACAGGGTTTCTCTGCTCTAAATGTGTTTGACTGACTCCAGTGAATGAAAGTTTGGGACTTCTGCTTAAGATTTTTAGGGGTGGACAGATAACATAATGGGAGTTTTCCTAATTAGGAGTCGGCACTCTCTTTTGAGTCTACAGGGATGAAGTATTTGGCAACCAAAGCAGATGCTCTGATAACTTAGGATCCAGCAAATTGACTGCCTGGTTCATAGTGATAGAACAAAAACAATAATAAGCGCACTACTCTGGTGGTACATGGGAATATATTTATAAGACTAACGGGGGTGGTCACAAAGTTCAATAAATGTGGTGGATAATTCACAATAATGGATATCACGGAAGGAAAAAATCACTCACTGTTGGAAGATCTATTTGCGGCCAGAGGGTGGAGTTGCACTGCCAGAGCGGAGGGGGGTTCGTGGGTCGAAAGACCAAGAAGTTCAATGGAATGTGGACCCAGTCTAGGGTAAGTGGTATGTGTGGAGAGATACGATAGAAACGCGTAGCCACCCATTGGATAGCTGTCTCCCAGCCCCTCACTGAAGTCACACTGTTAACCCACGTTGTTCGCCACTGACAGACACAGCGAGCCGCGGCTCAAGAGACAGTGCAGCAGCGGCATCCCCGCCGCTCTCTTACAGAGTCGAGCAGGCTCAGCTTGGCCAGCTGAGTTCTATCGTATATCTCCACACATACCACTTACCCTAGACTGGGTCCACATTCCATTGAACTTCTTGGTCTTTCGACCCACGAACCCCCCTCCGCTCTGGCAGTGCAACGCCACCCTCTGGCCGCAAATAGATCATCCAACAGTGAGTGATTTCTTCTTTCCGTGATATCCATTGTGGTGAATTATCCACCACATTTATTGAACTTTGTGACCACCCTCATCCTATAGGGTAGTAGCGTCTCCTTTCCCAGTTTTCTTGGTTCATAGAGTGAGCCTGCTTTGCTCTATTTAAAAAAAAAATGTCCAATTAATGCAATAGGTAAATACACTACAGTCACTATTTTATATCACAAATAAATGATTGCATAAGAGAGTTTACCTGCTTAGGCCACATCCATACATTAGTCTCCTATGTTTGTGTTCCAAATTTTGAATAACAAAATTGGCCAGTGCATTCCATTAACAACTAAATTCAGAAAAGCATTAATTAAACCATGGTAGTTAAAAAAGCAAGGTAAAACAACACACAAGAGAGAAGGATAAGGCATTTAAAAAATATAAATCAGAGGGGACAGCATCGGCATTCAAAAACTGCAAGGTATGCAACAAAAAATGTAAAAAAGCAATCGGGGCAGCAAAAGTACAATATGAAGAGCACATAGCATTAGAGAGCAAAAAGAACCCCAAGGAATATATTTTAGTAAGAAGGTATGGACGGAACATATAGGCCCCATAAATGATGACGAGTGGAGGTCAGCTACCAGCGGCAGTAAGAAAGCGAACATGTTAAATGCATTCTTTTCTTCTGTCTTTACAGACAAGATGGACGTGGGCATCAGCTGCCAAGATAGTACCTATTTTAACACATCTCTGTGGCTAACGGAGAGCAGAGTAATACAGACATTAGAAAGAATAAATGTAAACAAATCACCAGGACCACATGGGTTACATCCGAGGGTCCTAAGGGAACTTAGTTAAGTTATAGCCAAACCTTGTACAAAATGTTAATGGACACTATAATGGCAGGTATTGTCTCGGCTGATTGGACTAGAGCAAATGTAGTACCAATATTCAAAAAGGGGAAAAGAAATGAAACGCGTAACTAACTACCGGCCTGTCCGCTAAAAATCAATAGTGTGAAAAATATTCAAAGGCATGATGCAGGACTACATGCAGGAATTTGAAAATAAAACTGGTATCATAAGTGGTAACCAACATGGTATTATGAAGGACCGTTCTTGTCAGACCAATCTGTTAACATTTTATGAGGAAGTAAGTACCAAATTAGACAAAGGAATACCAGTAGATTTATATCTGGACCTTGCTAAAGCATTCGACACAGTACCCCACAAACGTTTAACCCATAAACTAAGGTCTATAGGTATAGATACAATTGTATGTAAATGGGTGGAAAATTGGCTGCAAGAACGGACCCAAAGAGTAGTGATAAATGGGTCATTCGCTAATTGGGCAAGGGTTGGGGTTAGGGGTGTCCCAGGGTTCAGTCCTGGGACCGATCCTGTTCACCTTAGTCATTCATGACATAGAGAGTGGACTAAATAGCTAAATTTCAGTTTTTGCAGGTGATAATAAACTACGCAGAGCAGTAAATTCCAAACAGGAGATATTTGCACAACAACAGGACCTAAGCAAAATTGAAGCATGGGCTACAAGATGGTAAATGTGATTTAATGTTGAAAATGTAAGGTTATGCACATGGACATAAACAACATGTGTGCAAACTACTACTTGGGGGGTGTTACTTTAGGGATGTCGGAGAAAAAGACCTGGGGGTCCTCCTAGATCAGATTTGGCAATAGTAAGCAATGCCAAGCAGCAGCCAGCAAAGCTAACAAGATACTGGCGTGTATTGAGAGGAATTGTAGCAAGGGATCAAAGAGTAATACTGCCACTTTATAAATCATTGGTTCGGCCCCAATAATGTATGCGGTACAGTTCTGGTCGCCGACTCTCAGGAGGGACGTCCTGGAACTGGAGAGAGTTCAGAGAAGGGCTACAAAATTAATTACAGTGATTTGAAGGCCTGAGTTATGAAGACCGCATTCAAAATATTAACATATTCACCTTAGAAAAGATGCGATTAACAGGGGACCTTATTGCAGTCTTCAAAATCAATAGGGACCACAATATTGGGAACAAACTGTTTAATCTCAAAACCGTATTGAGAACCCGGGGACACAGCAAGAGGTTAGAAGAGAAGGGGTTCAATCTTAGAATTCGCAAGGGGTATTTCACTGTGAGAGTAGTGAAAGTTTGGAATTCCCTCCCACAGGCGGTGGTATCTGCTGATAACATTGATAAATTGAAGACATTTCTGGATGAGTTTCTTCTTTCGCCGAATCTACAGGAATATGGGAGGTGTTTATATATAATTACACACACGTTGAACTGGATGGACCTCGGTCTTTATTCAACCCTACCTACTATGTTATTATGTAAATGTAACAGGCTGCATAAGAGATAAAATTATTGTTTTAACTTGTGCATGCCAACCTCAAATAAAACGGGAGGCTGAGCTAAGTGCAATAAATATTCAAGGTTGGGTTGCTTAATTAATGAAACAGACTGTTCACTATGCAAAGTGAATGTTCTCTGAGCTTAGTAAGTAAGATGAGGCTGTGAACTTGCTGTGAGCAATATCAAATTTGTACTTGTAGTACTTTTTAAATGGGCTGCAGGAAGCACAAATGTGCAGGCCTTGCTTTGTAAAGGAGCTGTAATAGCATTAATGTCTAGCAGTCTCAAACCATGTGTTTCCTGTCTGACTGTTGCTTGAAGCATGTCCCCATGCTCCAACAAACTTTATGCAAACCTTAAAGCATTTCTTGAATTTTTCCACTTAAA